TACCTCTGCTAGGATGATGACTCTTGTCTGCTGGTCCTTTGACACAGGAGCCTGGAATTCAGGCATCCTTTCTCATCTGGCATATGGATCAGAACATAATTCTTGAGTGTGGAATATGCTGCCTCAAGGCCTGAAGAAGCCAGCCAGACATTGTTCTTCATTCTGTGTCTCAGGAGATGCAAGATGGAATAGTTTGTTCTTCACTTCGGGGCCAGTGTCCAGCATTACCTAGACCAGTGAACCCCTGAAAACTGACTGACAGGATAAAGCCCCTGAATTCTGAGATCTCCCACCTTCTGGAGCACAAATATCTTACTAATAAGGCTTTCAACATTCTAGCCTCTTTATGCTCATCTGGTTCTATTAATGTGACGTCATTGATGAAGTGGGCCAGGGTGATGTTCTGCAGGAAGCCCGGATGGCTCTGAGGCAGGACTGTAAATGTAGATGTGTGTGGTGTTTGTGTGTGAGTGCAAACTGTCTCCCATCCTTTTTTCTTAGAAGAATACATCTGCCAGGTCAGTTGCTGTGTACTGTGTACTTACGTAGCATTGACCTGCTCTAGCAAAGATTCCCCATTTGGCAGAGTGGCTATAGTTGGGGCTGTTTGGTGGAATTGGTGGAGTCTGCTGTCATCCTCCACACTGCTGGGTTTTGCAGGGGGAGAGTGGTGAATTAGATGGAAATATTCTAGGGACCATCAGCCCTGCATTCTTAGGTTTTTAAGGGTGGCACTAATTCCTCCTCATACAGGGTGATGGTTTTTATTTATCTTGGCCAGGGTGTAGGGGAGGGAGTTTTAGAGCCTTCGAAGCAATGTGAGCGTATGCCAGCAGCTAAGCGATCTATTCCAGGTAGACATTCAGGGGCTGGGGAGAAACCTCGGGATGTATGTGTGGACCCAGTGCCTGCACTGTGAGCCAGACCTGTGCCTGGGGTTCATTTATTATCTCACCCCTGTGCATGCCCCCTTTCTAACAGAGGGACCAGGTAACACCTGGGTCTTGTGGCATCGTGTACTTAATAATTTATGAAATGTTTGTGTTTTCCGCTTTCCTTAGAGTGCAGTTACCTGAGTCGATGGTCTGAGATTCATAACTACGTTGGCTTTGGTGTCGCAGAATCTTCCCTCCCAGGATCTGGCCTCTCCTTCAGTACATAGTTCTAAGTCCATAACTGACTCTGGTGTAGAAACTGGACAAGATGTCATGGTTTTCCTTGGGGTGACTGTCTTTGACTTCTGACCATCATTGATGTCTTGATGGTAAAGACTGAGTTGTACTTGCAAGATTCCTGGCAGCATGAACAAAGCAGTGGCCCCCATTATAGATGTCAGGGTGTCAGAAATGCCATGGCACACAGTCAAAGAAGGGTTTAAATAAGCAGGCATGCCAGATTGGGTATGGATCTTATAAGATATGTTTGTGCCGTGGGAGGGCCCAGAGGATACATCATTTGCCAAGCACTGAGAATCGCTGGTGGAAAAGGCACCAGCATCACTAGAAAACCTTACGAAGTGTCCATCTCTCTGAGTTCTAGGGCTGCCACTAGGAAACGCCATTGCAGACCTGTTTCACTGGGGGCGAGGGGCATATCATAGGACCCCAAAACAGTGGAGGCCTGCAGGTGGCACTTGAACATCAGAAGCCAAGTGAGTGCAGTTATGGTAATGACTGAGTTCAGAGGGGCAGGGTTGGGGGACTGAACTGTGGAGAAGTTACGGAAATGGTTACCAGAACACGGCATTCCTGAGGGCAAATTACATGGGCAAATGGTATTCATCATTATCTCTTTTTCCCTTTTATAATTTGTTTGGCCAGATTGAGAAGGCAGTGCTTCATGTAAATTCTTGAATAACTTACTGCACATCATCAGACTGACACTAGCCCACAGTCACTGGGGCTCAGTTCTGTGCCGTCTTCTCCCCTCCCCATCCCTCTCTCTTGTTTCTCTTAGGGTTTGGCTAACTTCTGTCGTCCTGTCCTCAAGTTTACTGATTCTCTCCTCAGCTGTGCTCTGATGACCACTGATGGCATTCTTTATCTTACCTCCTTTGACTTTTTCTTTTTTTTGTATTTTTTTAAATTGAAGTATAGCCAGTTTACGATGTTGTGTCAATTTGACTTTTTCTTATAGTTTCCACTTCTCAGCTGAGATTCTCCATGTCATCATGTGTATTGTCCACCTTTTCCACTAGCACTTTTAAGATAATAAAGTTCTCTAATCATTTCAACTTCCTTAGCACCTGCTCACTTTGACCCTTTGTAGTCTGGGTCCTGAGTCCACCCATTAGCTGAAGTTTTTCCTAAAGGTCATCAGGGGTTTACTGTTTTTAAGACTTAACGTTTTCCTGTTTTTTGTAGCTGCGCTCTGACAAAGCTGATCACTGCTCTGGGAAGAGGCGTTGTACAGTCTGTTACTCTTGCTGTGCCTTTGGCTGTTTTTATGATTCCTGTCTGTGTATGTTTGTTTTCCTTACCCTTCACTCTTGATATGGCCCTTTGTTGTACAGAGTTTTTGCTTTTGTTGTAGTCCAGTTTATCTATTTCTTTTTTTACCTGCGCTTTTGGTGTCAGCTACAAAAAATCATTACTAAATCCAGTGTCATGAAGCTTTCCTCTTATGTTTTCTTCCAAGATTTTTATTGTTTTAGGTCCTACACTTAGGCCTTATCCATTTTGAGTTAATTTTTGTATGTGGTGTAAAGTATACGGGTCCAGCTTTATTCTTCTGCGTGTGGATATCCAGTTTTCCCAGCACTGTTTGTTGAAGAGAATATTCTTTTCCCCTCTGAATGGGCTTGGCACCCTTGTCAAAAATCATTTGACCAAATATGTGAGAGTTTATTTCTGGGCACTCTGTTCTAGCCCATCGGTCTGTGTGTTCATCTTTATGTCATTTTAGCACTGTTTTGATGACTTTGTTTAACTCTGAAGTAAGTTTTGAGATCTGAGAGTGTGAGGTCTCCAACTTTGTTCTTTTTCAGTACTGTTTGGATTGTGTGGGGGTCTCTTGAGATTCCATGTGAATATTAGGATGGGATTTTCTGTTTCTGGAAAAAATGTCATTGGGCTTTGATAGGGATTGCACTGAATCTTTAGGTTACTTTGGGCAGGGTTCCCATCCTGACAATATTCAGTCCTCCCATCCGTGGACACTAGGTGTCTTCTGCTTCAGTTATATCTTCACTTTCGTCCAGCTGTCCTTTGTAGTTTTAGTGGACAAGTCTTTCACCTCCATGGTTATGTTCATTCCTAAGCATCTTATTCCTTTCGATGTTATTGCAAATGGAATTGTTTTTCTTTTTTTCTTTTTCTTTCTTTTTTTTAAATTGAAGTGCAGTCTGTTACAAGGTGTCACTCTCATGTACAGCACAATTTCCAAGTCATGCATATAGATACATTTGTTTTCATATTTAGAATTGTTTTTCTTCATTTCCTTTTCTGATCATTCATTTTTATCTTTGCCCACTTTTAAATCAGGTTGTCTTTATTGTTGAGTTGTAAAAGTTCTTTATATATTCTGGGTATAATTTCCTTCTTAGATACGTGGTTTATAAATACTTTCTATTGTTCTGTGGATCATTCTACATTCTTTACTAAAACGACCTCTTTACATAAAGTGTGAAAACACTCCTCCCAAAATGTTACCTTTAAAATGATGGGAAATGCTAAGATATTTTATAAGAATTTATTTTATTAGAATGTTAGACTTCTTAGCCACTTTTCTATTTGTAAAATGTGATAGTACATTTTATAGAAAAATATTCAATGAAAAGTGTGTTTATAGACACTATAATATCCTGGAAAATGTGCTATATTAGGTGAAGGGAGTATAACGTAAGCAACTATGTCATAGGAATTATGTTTAAAAAAACTTGAAGTTATGCTTGGGAAAAATAATTGGAAACATGGCAAAATGCTTCTAGTGGTCATATGGTGACTAGGACAGTGAGTCTTTTCTTCCTGTCTGTTTTTAAGATTGTACTTAAGTATTTTTTACTACAAAAAAAATTTTTTTTAAGAATGGTAAAAAAAAAAAATTATACCGCCCAAAGGTAAAATGAAGCTCATGGGAAAATGTAACATGTGATGATAGGGCGTCACTTCCTGTGTATTCATGTGTCGTCAAGCTAGAGGTTAGAGGAGCACTGTATTTCTTTCATCCTACCTTCTTGTAGAAATAAAGAGCCAGTGTTACCACCTTCCCCTCCACGGCCACTACACATCCCAGCGAAGTGAAACATCAAATCTCTAATATTCTCCTGCAAGTCTCCTGCACTTCTTCTGTCTTAAGTTATGTAACTGAACTGATCCACTGATACTGGACTCATGTACGTTACCAATTAGTTTGAAATCCCTTAAAGAGAAGTTAGCCACTGAGAGTAAATATGAGTGAGGTAGTCTGTTCTCCATTGTTGAATATTGAATTTAGAAGATCGTTTGCTTCATTATAAGCCATTCCTTTGCTAGTGTTGTATCCTGTCAGTCTGAATCACTTTATTTATAATGTCCTATTATAAACATCAAAGTTAATTTTTTAAAAATCTAAGTCTGTTGGGGAGATTATTTCTTTTTTCAACAGGCCTTGGAGGAATACTGTTAAATGAGTGTACTGTCTGCTCTAAGTATCTAATTTAAAGCGTCTAATTTAAGTAATGGCTTTGTTAATGCATGTTTCATTTGATCACGTAAATCAATTTGGTAAAACAACCAGATGATTTACTTTAAAAATCAATTATAGACATTTTCTGTGTTAATTGAGGACTGGCAACTATTTAAGCAATCCTCAGCTATTATTACAATTAGTTGAGTTGTAGTATTCAGTTTATTTCATTAGTATTCACTTAATGTAGATATAACTGATGGAATAATAAGATTCCTACGTAGTACTTCTTTCTATTGTAGAAACTCGGGAGTAACTAGTAATCTGAAAGATGCCTATAATACAATAAAGTCTTCATTTAATAATAGCTAGTGATAATTTTTCTGCTTTTTTAGGAGTTGGTAATGCTTCTTTTGGAATATGATGCTGATACAACCGTAGTTAATGGAAATGGACAGACAGCAAAAGAAGTGACTCATGATAAAGAAATCAGAAGCATGCTTGAAGGTAAATGTTACGGATCTTGACATAGACAGCATTTATTTTAATTATAACCCACAGTCCAGAATATGAGTGGAATTGGCTTCTGAGATGCCAGAGTAGATGACACCAAGCCTGTGCTCTGAAGATAAGATAACTTGGAGTCACTGATTAGACACAAAACTATCTATGTGAAAGTTCCCCCAACCTGAAACTGCTCTAAAAAAAATAAAGTCTATTAATTTAAAAATAAAAGAAAGATTCCCTACAGCTTATAGTTTTTTTTTTAACTCTATGTAATGTTATACAAAGTTTCAAAAATCAAATCTCCAATAAACTACATGTGGAAGATAGAGACCTGAGGGAGGTTGGCTGATCGGCTGCAGAAGCACAATAGTGAGGGAATGCGGGAGTGGAGGACCGAGAAACTGTAAGAGGCACAGCTCCTGGGAGTCGCTGATACCTGGGAGGTTGGCTCTGCCGGCTCCATTCTCACGAGGACTTCATGTTAGTACAGCAGCCGACAGTAATTTCTTGATGGATCCGCTTCATTGTTATGAACTTCAGAGATTAAGTTACGTGTAGGCAGACATATGAGGAATTTCTCTAAAAAATAGTTTAGAACAAAGATATTTTGACTCTTGCACTGGGAAGCCTTTGTTCATTAGGATTATCCCTCGAACAACGAGGGCTTTGGCTGTAATTATTTTCTGATAGTGTTTCTGTTGTAGAGAAAAGATTTCTTGACTGCTACTTTATGAATAAGGATATTGAATTTGAGTTGTGATTCCACACACATTGTGTGTTTCTTTCCTTTGCAGTTCAGAAAAGGGCAAGATGGTTTTGTATTTAAAGGGTGTTGATGAACCAACATCATTTAGCATTTGATTACTTAGTAAATATTTACTGGCCAAATACGCATTGTGCCAGATACTGTCACAAATGCCTAGGATACACAGAAGGGTAAGAGCAGGTACCTGCCTTCAGGAATGACTGAAGGGATAAATCACAGCTCTGGGTAATGCGTGCAGTAGCAGAGGTAAGTACAGGAGGGGTATGGACATGTCTGTTCTCAGAAGCTCACAGTCCAGCAGCCGTAGGTCTAGTGGGAGGAAAGACTGAAGAGCAGCAACAGCAAAAAAAAAGGCAGCGTTGGGAGCCTGCAGAGAAGCTTGGCAGCCCTCCTCCAAGGCAGAGAGGGAGTCTGGGTGTGGAAATAAAGATGTGGGATTAGAAGATAACAGTATATAGTAGTATTAGTCATTTCTTAAGACAAAGCTAAACTGGTTCCAGCTATTCTGTATTCACGGTACACGTTTCCTGTAATTGAAATGCAGGGGCATGCATAGTGTCGGAAACAGCTGTCACGTGTAGCAATTACTAACTTAATAACCATTCATTATTTCTCAGGAAGACCTGAGGAGTGTTTTATAGTTCCTCCCTTGCAGCCTTTGCCCGGGACATTGCACACATGTTTTAAAGAGGATTCTTACTAAGCCTTTCTAGGAAATTGCTGCCTCTCTGTAAGCTAAAATGAATTCTAACAGCAGAAATGAGACCTTATTACATACTCGTCTCTGAAGCAAATCGCATTGCCACTTGCCCTCATTCTCTATAAGCAGCATAGAGTAATGGTAAGAGCATGGACTCTGGAACCCACCTGTCCAAGTTCAAATCCCAGTTCTGTCACATCCTGGCTGTGTGACTTAGGTTACGTTCCTAAACCTCTTGGTACTTCAGTTTTTTCCATCTGTAAAATTGGGCAAATAGTAACTCTTCAAAGAGTATTTATGAGGATTTAATGAGTTAATACTATTTAAGTGCTTTGAAAGGTACTTGGCACATAGTGAGTGCTGTAGTATTTGTTAAAGAAATGAGTATTTTATGTAGAAGTGCATAAGTATATATAAACCTAAGTTATTTGGTTTGTACTTCTTCCTACCAGTGCAATTTCTTATTGTTCCTTTTCACATTCTAAGGTTCTAGAAAGTATGAGCCCCCTCCCCACTTATCTACCTTTCCAAGGCAGATGTGTAGTAGTATTTCAGCATGCAAAATAATTCATAATTATTTGTGGTGGGTATTGTAGTTACAATGAACTTAAAAGACCTCTGAATTGAAAACGTAAATTCATCTGAATCTGAGAGAAGTTGAATTCCATAATTGTAATGGGAAATGTAAGGCAGTGAGTAACAAAGTAACGATAACATTTGAATTACAATCCAAAACGTCATGACTTGGCTCACTTTACTCTTTATACATTTTGTGATAAATTTGCTAATAGGATCCAGACTAAAGGTAATCTGTACTTTTCCTTCTATAGCTGTAGAAAGGACTCAACAAAGAAAGCTTGAAGAATTACTTTTAGCAGCAGCAAGAGAAGGCAAAACAGCAGATCTCACAGCTCTGGTAAGAGTGGAAACAAAGCCAAATGCATTATTTTTCTCCGCAGGAGAAATTTTGCTTAAAGTTAAATTCATGGCTTAGTCAAATCATAGGACCAAAATACTTGAGATCATAATAATAGAATGAAAGTCTTTAAGTATCTAAAAACACAGCATGCTAATAGTTTAAGCAGGATGCATTTTAAATGATGGTATTTTTCTCTAAATTTATGGTTTACCTCCCCACTTCTTATTAAAAACCTGATGGATGAGAGTCCAATTTTTCAAGGTAATATAATTTCCTTGGTAATGTTTAAGGAAAAATTTTTTTTCAGATTAAGCCAATTTCTTTTTTCTTTTTTTTTAATTGAGTTATAGTCAGTTTACAATGTTGTGTCAAGTTTTTGGTATACAGCACAATTTTTCAGTCATACATGAATATACATATATTCATTTTTATATTCTTTTTTCACCATGAACTACTGTAAGATCTTGAATATATTTCCCTGTGCTATACAGTATAAACTTGTTTATCTATTCTATATGTACCTGTCAATATCTACAAATCTTGAACTCCCAGCCTGTCCCTTCCCACCCACCTCCCCCTTGGCAACTGCAAGTTTGTATTCTATGTCTGTGAATCTGTTTCTGTTTTATATTTAATTTCATTTGTCTTTTTTTTTTTGTAGGTTCCACATATTAGTGATATCATATGGTATTTTTCTTTCTCTTTCTGGCTTACTTCACTTAGAATGACATTCTCCAGGAACATCCATGTTACTGCAAATGGTGTTATGTTGTCAGTTTTTATGGCTGAATAGTATTCCACTGTATCTTCTTTATCCAGTCCTCTGTCAATGGACATTTAGGCTGTTTCCATGTGTTGGCTATTGTAAACAGTGCTGCTATGAACATTGGGGTGCAGGTGTCATTTTGAAGTACAGATTAAGCCAATTTAAAATTGACGCTTAATATATAGGATCCTATAAAGGAATACCTTTCTCTAGTTTTGAGCAATTATTTCTGAAAGGTATGCTATACTTCTCAAAAGTAACATACAAAGAAGGGACAGTATTTTTGAAATAGTTATATCTTGTTAGAACAGATTGAAAACTTCACCCACATTATTTTTTGCTTCTTAGGAGACCTACTTTCCAGCTTCCATTTCCTGAAAATAGTCTCATTAAACCCGAAATTCTAAATTTGTTCTAAATTCAAGACTGAAGTACAGCCATTTGCTTTCAAGTTATTTCAGCTCATTTGAAAGGCCTCTTTGGTTTCCAAGTATAGTACCTAAAACATTTTTTTACCTTTGTGAAATGGAGACTATGTAAAGAGGGTTTTAAAGCAGTCAGTTGGAAACAACTCAGTAGACCTTTAACATTTACACATGTAACATTTGTGGTTTTAAGTCTTCTGAATGATTGACTATGGTAGACGGGTTTGTCACTTTGCTGTCACAAGTGTGAACTGTAGGACTGGAAGGGACACGCGAATCTTGTGGGAACAGGGGTGAGTGGGGTGGCCCTGGTGTTGTGTGTGGTGTCTGTTGTCAGGGAGCGTGGGACCTGAGATCTCATGGCACCCTGAGGATGAGCGTGGGGAGTGACGCGGGTTGGCTGCTTTGGTGAGCAAGAAGCCACTGACGGTCTGGATGCTAAGGAGCCTGGCTGTTGGTCAGGCTCTGGAGCGTGAGGGTCCACCTGAACTTTCAGCTCTGCTGTGCCTTCATGGGTTTTATGGGATAAAGTCCACCTCTGATGCATAATTTGCACTGCATTTCTTCAATTGTTAGCTCAACAGGCCAAACCCTCCTGATGTTAACTGTTCGGATCAGTTAGGAAATACACCCTTGCACTGTGCTGCTTACCGGGCTCATAAGCAGTGTGCCTTAAAGCTTCTCAAAAGTGGAGCCGACCCTAATCTGAAGAATAAAAACGGTAAGCATGTTGATGAAAGACATTGTTGGTCATTTTGAAGCTATAATAAAAATCAAGTCTTTTGTTTTAGTGCCCAGCCTTTGTTAAACTGTGTAGTTCCTGTTTAATTTTGGAGTTAAGGGTTTATACAAAAGGAAAAAGCAAACTTACTAATTTACTTCACAGTTAACATCTAAATGTTTAATAATGCCTGTTTCATAGGAGGCACACTAATGATGACTAAGAGTTGATTCCTACTCTCAGGGAAAGAAAAGTGCAGTTGATTCTTGTTATTTGTGGTAGTTAATTTCTATAAAGTTGTCATGAACTCTAATTTAGTGAATACTGAACCACTGGTCATAAGGGCAATAGAGTCAGTTTCCTGCGAGCCTCTGGTCACAGCATTTTCATCCACTGATCAGCATGTATCCTTGTTTTACATGTGCTTCTGTTTAAAAACGCTGTATTTAATGTGTATTGTTGGTTCCTTACCGCGGCGCTCACTGCCGGGAGCACTAGAGCTCACGCCTGAACAGCTCGTGTGACACATATTTTGTTCTAAGGCACGTGACTGCCTCCTTGCACTTAGGAGCCTTAGGTGGCACTTCGGCATTGTGCTCGGGGGCCAGTTTCAACAGTGAAATCACCAACAAAAAGCAAAAACGGTGAAAAATGTGCCACTGGGTAGACTGACGAGGACACTTGTTTATGGTATGAGAACTGAAACAAGGCAGAGCACCACCTTTTTCTACTTCAGTGGGGAACACGTGCATCAGAACACTCAAATTTTTTACTAACCTGCATGTGCCATGAGTGACCAAGAAATGGCCATAAGTACTGATCTGGGGATGAAAGTAATATTTAATAATAGGTGAATTTGCAAATACAGAGTTTGCACGCAATGAGGATAGGCTGTACACTTGTGACAGGATCAGGGACAGAATTGGATACTGACAGGAGAAGCTGCGAAAGATGTCTTGGGTTTCATGCAGGACCATCCCATTAGGGCTTTTCTACATCACTTTTTAGGAGGCTCCCCTTTGCCTGCTGTCAGCCTGGGTTAGGGCTTATCATCATAGCCCAAATCATACTCCGTGGCATTTGTTGGCTTAGGTAGCTGTCCCCCATGAGACTGAGCTCCTATGGGGAGGGCTAATATTTTACTACCTAGTTTACCCAGCACCTAGAGCCTCCAGAGGAAGACAGTACTGCGGACACCTCGATTATAAGCCCAATTAAACTGGTTTTGGATTTCTGACCTCCAGCATTGTTCAGAAATAATTTGTATTGTTTTAAGCCACTAGATATGTGCTAATTTGTTACAACAACCGTAAGAAACTGATACAGTGATTTATGGTGAGAAAGCTTGAGTGATCGCAGAACCTGTACAGAGCGTCCAGAGGTTAATCTGATTTGCTGGCTTGATAGTTAGCTGCTGAAAAGAAATGGGTAAAGAACTGGGATGAAACTTAAGGCAGTTAAAGGAGTGTAGTTGATGGAATAGTGAAAGAATATTATGTGCAGCAGTAGCAGTAGCAGTGGGATGAAACTGTAGGCAGGTAAAGGGGTGTAGTTGATGGAATTGTGAAAGAATATTATGTGCAGCAGTAGCAGTAGCAGTTTCGTAGTAGGATTAAGCTCTTGATGGCTTTTTTCCTTGCATTTTACACAGATCAGAAACCCCTTGATCTTGCCCAGGGTGCTGAAATGAAACACATTCTTGTTGGTAATAAGGTTTGTAGAAATGTATTATATTTATATAATGTAGAACAAAATTTTGAATTCTTGAAATATATAGATGCATTTTTAATGAAAATGTGTTTTCTTCACCAGGTCATCTACAAAGCATTGAAACGATATGAAGGCCCTCTCTGGAAGGTGGGTTGGGGTGGATTTTTAATTATAAAACTGGAAGAACGAATTCTCAGGTGCTCTTTTTGTTAAAAGTTTTTTCTTTTTTTTTTCCTGAAGTATATGTGATTTAATAATTATTGGATCTTATAACGTAAACCATTTTTACACTGTTGGTCTTTACTAGGCTTCCACTGATTGTAGAAATTAACTGTCTTTGGTGTTGGTCTCACACTTAAAGGTGACCAAGTTTGTACAGAACAGAATGGGGGGAAATTTTTTTTCTTAATCGTAGAATCGCAGTATTATTTTTGTTATGAACATTGAACTATGGAGGACTCAGGAGGAACTTAGTATGTGAATCGTCACAGAGCACACATATAAAATTTCTCTGGTTCTAAAAGTTTCTGTGTGTTTTGGAGTTTAGTTTTCTAGAATTACCCGTTTTAGAGCACATAGTTTCTTCTGCATTTGCAAGCACTCCCTCGGTATATTTATGTACATGTATGTTATATTGTATAAAATAAATGTAGGATAATTCTTTTTTTTAGAAGTTCATTTAGGACTTTGAGGAAATTGTCTCTGAAGCCCAGAACTGATACATTTCCTATAAATATCTCTGCATGGTATTGTCAGAACTGTAAACTGTGTTCACCGTTGATCTTACAGATATGGCATGTCTTCTATTCCTGTCCCTCTGTAGTGGTATGTTTCCATTACTGCATCCAGTTCCTCAGTTCATGCTTGATCGTTTTTGAGTGTTCAGTGGTACTGTCTGGATGAAAGACTCCGATAGGGCTGTCACAACTTAAATTAGTTTTTATCAGTCCAGTATTTCAGTCTAGATACATCAGCTTGGAAAACCTTTGTCATTTTTCCCTTAGAGTTCAAGATTTTTTGGCTGGCGATTATTCTGGGTAGTGTTAGAACACGGAGTCCTTTCATGGTACAGGAAACAGTGAGTATTATGATCCTTATACTGATAGAATTGCTAAATCATCTAAATTTTGAATGATTTAAAGTTTTCACTGAAGTTTTCCTTTTGCCCTGATAATTTATATTTATTTTGAAGGCCTGATGCAGTCCATAATATTTATCGCCAGGGATGCAAACACCTAACTCAAGCAGTGTGCACGGTAGGATGACACACACATCTTTTGCTCAGACTGTGAAATCAGTTCTGCAAGTGATGGCCCTGAATCAGTGGTATAAGCTGCCTTGTAAAATCTTGGGGTAGAAGGCACTTGTGCAGTTGGCCCTCTTTATCTGTGGGTTCCACATCTGCAGATTCACCAAACCGTGGGTCAAAACAAAAATACAGAAAAAAATTCTGGAAAGTTCCAAAAAGCAAAACTTGAATCTGCCATGTACCGGGAACTATTTACATAGCGTTTACATTGTGTTAGAGATTATAAGTGGTCCAAAGATGACTTTAAGTGTATGGAAGGGTGTGCATGGGTTATATGCAAATACTATGCCATTTCATGTGAGGCACTTGAACATCTGTGGATTTGGCATCCTGTAGGGGTCCTGGAAGCAATCCCTCACAGATACTGAGGGATGGCTGTATATGTTTCTATTTGAGAACAAGTAAAGTTGTGGAATATCCATTTTTAAAATATAACCAGCTTTTAAAAATCTCCATGTATTGTGGGATGAGAGATACATGGGCCAGAAACATTTATACAGAACTTTTACCATTTTGTATGTCTGTGTGTGTGTATGTATGTTCACACATACATGTGCATGTACATGTATACATACGTGTACTGTGTATATATGTCTGTGTGTATTTGTACCTGGGTAAATCTGGATAATGGAAGTTTTTTTGGTGTTAAAGCCTATATCAAAATTGGGGGTTTTTAGGTTCTCCATATTCACATCTGGCTATTCACTTCTACATCTGGCTATTCACTTCTACCAGCCAGGAGGAGAAGTTTTTCCTCCTTACAGATTAGTCTAAGACGAGCCTAGACGTACTTGCTGTTTGCTGCTTCAAGTTCTTTAATGTTGTCAGCATGCCACGCCATCCACCCGCTCTAAAATTAGATTACGGCACCTGCTTCTCTGTGTGGATTCTTGGAAGACCAGTGGCGTGGCCCTGGGGGCATCACAGACTTGTCACCTTCTGCAGTAGTCCAGCCTGGTTGCACACGCCGGTCCCTTCAGTGCCCTCTCCCCCTTCCTCCCTTCGTGTTAGACCAGACAGCCTGGGAATCACTCTCCAGTCTTAGCCATCTAATCTTCATCTCTCCTGTTGGTGCAGTCCGGCTGTTCTCTTCTGTTCCAGCTTTTGAATCATTTTCTTAACACTGAGGTTTTTCTTCGGTTGGGTCCTTTCTCATTCTTGTCTAACTAAAAACAGAAAGTTAAACCAGTGCTCCCCCCATCCTTTTAAAATGTTTGAATTTCCTGTTTTTTAGCTTCTCTTAGAATTGATTAGTTTCTACTGTGTTTTGCTTCACCTTGTCTTACAACTTTTGTTTCTTATTTAAATGTTGACTGAAAGCCTACATTTCTGAGTCTACATTGATACCAGGTAGTGAGCGTTCAGTGAGTGACTACTGTAAGGCAGGCTGTGTTCACCTTC